CACAGAAACTATGAAAGATAATAAACATTTATTGTTGTTTTAAGCTGCTAAGTTTTGAGATAATTTATAATCCAGCAATAGATAACTAACACAGGAAGGAACTAAAATGGGGGTGGAGTGAGGAGAGGAGGCAGAAGTCAACAAAGAGGGCACGTCAGTTTGTCTATGTTGTTTAATTTTTTTAAAACAAAAACTTAGACATAAAATATTTGTGAAATGTAAAATGTTATTAAATTCTTTATTTAAGCACTCTAAGTATTTTGAACTTTAAGGTCACAAAAAAAGCACATTAAAAATCCATTCTTCCAACTTATTTTTGAGGATAAATTCATTTTCTCAAAATGCATGATTAGGGAATTAATCTCAATTCCACATATAATTGAAATTAGGTCACATTCCTTAGAAAGTGATAGAGGTCTTCTGCTCTATGATGATGGTATATTATCTAAATAATTATGAAGGCAATTAGATACAAAAACTCACAGCATGGATTTAGAGACAGAGAGACCTGGGGTCCAGAGTCCAAACTCTAACTCACGTTATGTACACACACACCACAATAAAAGAACACATGATACCAGTACTCTACATACAATATAATTTAAACTGTGTATAAACCATTCTAACCCAATAAACCTATTTGGGAAGAAGTCTTTATCTTACATTAGCTACAGAATAAACACATTTTCAGAGATTAACAACCCTTTTCTTTTCTGGCCATACACCAAATCAAAAGCCATTGCCGTCAAGTGGATTCTGACTCGTAGGGGCCCTACAGGACCAAGTAAGGCCCCATAAGGCCCCAAGGCTGTAATCTTTATGGAAGCAGATTGCCACATCTTTCTCCCACAGAGTGGCTGGTAGGTTCAAACCTCAGACTTTTGGTTAGCAGCCGAGTGCTTTAACCACCGCACCACCAGGGCTCCTCATCTTATATTAACTACAAAATAAACACATTTTCAGAAATTAACTACCCTTTTCTTTTTTGCGCATATAGGTGAGGTCAATTCTCCTTTTACAGGACTGTCCTGCACGTTCCGAGACATTTAAAGTCCCTGGACGTTAAATGTCAGCAGGACCTTCCACGCATTGTATTAACCAAAAAATCCCCATGCATTTCTATGTGCTGGGATTTACAACTGTGATTGTCCTTTATATCAATATAATGAGACTTCTTTATCTGTCATAATTAGGGAATATAGTATTACTCACAAGTGAATCTGTCAGATAAAGGAATGTTTATTCTAACTTACGAAGAAATCTTTCTAAAATGTATGGACTTCCCTGGACTTCGGTCAACAAAGTATATTGGATTAAACTAATTTCCACTGATAACTCCAGTAATGGTTATGAATATCAAAGTTCTGTGTTACAGTATTCCAAAGAACTGCTGAGATATATTGATGATTTTTCACTCCAGTAAGAAAAACCTCAGGCTTCTGTGCTTTTATATTTTCTATGTCTGATTTTCATAATTCTTCCATTTCATTCCTTGATCAGCAGTCATTCCTTGAAACCGCCTACATCTCCCACTATAGTGGCAACTTCATCGACCAGTTTGCTGTTTCTAGTGTACCGTGGCCAGGAACCCAGACAGCTGGACCTCTTACAACTGGACATGCAACATAGTTACATAAACGGGCTTTGGGTGAAGGCCTGAGAGTCTCTCCTATGGAGCAAAGTACATGAGTTTTATTTATTGCATGAGTTGTGAAAACTATTTTTGAAGCTCAGAGACCATAAATGTTTGTTTCTAAGTTCCCAGCTATGGAAATTAGTCTGACTTCACTCAGTGTTTCCTGATGCAGACCCTATTAGCATGTTGTACAGGATGATTCTTTGTGCTGGACTGTCCTGCACACTCTAAGACATTTAAAGTCCCTGGGCATTAAATGTCAATAGCATCCTCTGTGCAGTGTAACAATAAAAAAAAAAAAAAAAATCCCCATGCATTTCTATATGCTGGGATGGGCCAAGAAGATGGTCTGTTAAAAGGGGATTCCCAGACCCCTAGCAGTGGTTGAGAACTCCGCTGCTAACTAAAAGGTCAGCAGTTCGAATCCACCAGCTGCTCCCTGGAAACCCTGTGAGGTAGTTCTACTCTGTCCTATAGGGTCACTATGAGTTGGAATCAACTCAACGGCAATAGGTTAGGTTTTTGGTTTAGACCGTGCTCAGGCATGCCCATATTCTATACCTAAGCTATCTTAGTTTCCCCCATGTTTATTCCTACTAGTGATCCCCAGGAACTAGTCAGGACAATAACACATATCCTCTGCCCATAAGCAGATTTCCTCTGCCTTCAAATCAAGGTGCCAAGATGATAACATTTAGAATGCAACCAAATTCCTAAACCTCTTCCCCAATTTGCCTGTATCAAGCTTCAGTGTCCTAAGGGTCTGCTTATCCCAAGGCAAAAGCTAGCCTGACAGACTTAAAGTGCAAAGCAGAAAGCTGGCAAGTCCTGATATTCTCTGCAAACTTTACTTGATAAGAGCCCATATCACAATAGGAGGCTCTCTGGAAAAATATGACTTGAAGCTGTCCAAAAAAAATTTATACCTTTCTTTACGTGCTTTCTTAGTAGGCAAATATTCACACACAAATGTTTCTGTCCTTAATTGCTTCAACTCTCAACCGCCATACCTTCTCATCTCCACTCCCCTGCCTCCAATGGCACAGTATTCAAGCACCTCCGTAGACTGCTTTGGCCACTCAGTTACTCTAAGGTAGACAGCAACTTATTCTCAACTCCAGAGGTGACTGAGAGGGTCAAAGACAAATTACACATCACAATTTTCCCTGCAAATGCTCCATCCTCCCTCAGTATGAAAAGCAAAAGACAGATATGAGAGTTTTCTGTCCCCTATTGTTTTACATATTTAAGAAGACAGTCACCAGCTCAAGAAATCAGACAGAGCTTCTGTACCTATTGCCTGCATCATTCACTTGTGGACTGATTTATGTATTATTTTATACTATCATTTGTCTCTTCCCTAAGGCCTAGTGTAATGGGTAAGGAGTCTTGGTGGTGCAGTAGTTAAAGCACTCAGATGCTAACCATACCTGAAAGGTTGTCGATTTGAACCCACCAGCCACTCCACAGGAGAAAAGACTTGGCGATCTGCTCCCCTAAAGATTACAGCCTAGGAAACTCTATGGGTCAGTTCTACCCTGTCCTATAGGTAGCTATGAGGCGGAACTGACTTGAGGGCAATAGATAATCTTTACAGAAGCAGACTACCACATCTGTCTCCTGTGAAGCAGCTGGCGGGTTCAAACCACTGACCTTATAGTTAGCAGCCGAGTGCTTAACCACTATACCACCAGGGCTCCTTAAAAAAGAAAGCTAGTGTAGCTATATTAATAACAGATAAAACAGATTAACAGATTATTAGAGATAGAGAGGATCACTATAGGATAAAAAAGCTCAATTCACAGCAAGATATGTCAGTTCTAAACTATTATTTATAGGAAAAAATAGACAAAATGAGGTATCCAACTTACATCAGAACTGACCTACAATGGAGTTGTTGGAACAGAACCCCGTCATAAGTCAGGGACTAACTGCAGTTTTCTCGGCAAAGGGAAGAAAGACATTTGCAGGTAACAGAGAGAGCATAAGCACGAGGAGAGTCAAAAGAGTTCCTGGCACATTCTAGTAAAAGAGCACAATCCAGTGTGACTGGAGCACTGACAAAGTGTGAAGAGTGCAGGTTGTGGTCATATTATAGTGGGTATTATACACAATATTAGGAACCCTGGTGGTGCAATGGTTAAGCACTGGGCTGATAACCAAAAGGCTGGCAAAAGGCTCTGCAGAAGAAAGACCTAGCAATCTACTTCCGAAGGCACACAACAACATATACAATATTAAGGAGTTGGAACTTTTTCCCATGGATCAGTGGATACTCACTAATAGCTTCTGAACACCATATAGATATGAGCAACCCTTTTTTTTAGGAAAAAAATATTTAGAAAGATAACCAGAATACTATTATGAAGAAGTGATAGAAAAGGAGAGGACAACAGGCAGGGATACCAGTTTAAAGGTAATTACTGCAGATATAACGAGGATCTGAACTACAATCGCGAGTAGAACTTAATTTAAGAGACACTTCAGAGAGAGAGAAGTGGCAGAGCTCTGAGACCGACTCCTGGCCAGGAAAAAGTAGAGGAAAGAGGAGGAATCTGGCTCTTATTGGATGGTGACGCCTGGTACCATACAGAGCAGTTAGTGGGTGCTCTGTAAACATGTGCTGGATCAAATTAAATTTTCATAACCTGATAAAATTAACTTGGATGGCTGACCAGTGAATTACTAAACAGCAACATGTCCAAAACCACACATTTGAAATGAAAGTGGAAGAGAAACAAATTTAAGTGAAAAATTAAATACTGGTTGATAACAAATACCACAGAATTATTTTTAAGAGGAAGAATAAAACCATGAAAGCAGAATTTTCCCAAAGCATATTCCACAGAACATTAGTCCCAAAATATATTCCATGACAAAACAGTTCCAGGGTAAAACACATTTGGAAAATGTTGCACACTGTATTCACTTTTAAATATTCGCTACAAACACTAAACCAAAACCCTATGCCATCAAGTCGATTCTGACACATAGGGACCCTACAGGACAGAGTAGAACTACCCCCAGGGTTTCCAAGGAACGGCTGGTGGGTTTGAACTGCCCATCTTTCGGCTAGCAGCCGTAGCTCTTAACCACTGTGCCACCAGGGCTCCACTACAAACAACCGCATATAAAATACTCTTAAAAGTTCTATTTAAAAAAAAAAAAAACACTAATTTTACTTAAGACAGAGTTTCCCAAACTTTTTGACCCTAGAACATTATCAAATCTTCCACAGACTTAGAGTTCCAGAGAACACATTAGGGAGTACTACACTTCACAAAAAGTTCCCCAAGTAGAAACACAGAGTTTCAGTGGAATTAGAAGGAAGCATTACAAGCTATACAAATACAAAAGTACAAACCTTCAGGTGAAGTTTTTGAAGAATTCGGGTGAGCAACCGTGGAAATCTTCCTATATCCATTGCATTTATCAGTGACACTGCTTTTTTCATGCTAAATAAATTCATAAAACAAAGTTTTAAAATGAGTTTTCCAAGTTGAACTGTACTTGCTATAGTTGTCCATCAGTTTTCATTTCGATAACTCTGACAGCAAAGGAGGCAAGGCAATCTTGAACATTTCCAAAAAAGATGTCCCCAAAAGGTACTTCTGTTGAAAAGGTCGATTTGGCAACTTTTCTCTTTGTTTTGAGAAAAGCAAAGTACTAATGAAATCTTGCACTCTGTGTGCAATGGTGTTAATTGACCAGTGGGCAGTTATGTGTCCACTTAACCCAAAATGGAAATCTGGAAGGCACAGGACAGGTGCAGCGATGAGGGCAATGACACTAAAAACATAAAGAAAAAGAATACTGCATGGCAAATTGACGGAATCTAAAAAAACAAAAAAACTACATACAAATTCATTTGGGGTCACTAAGTGCACAGTTGTTTTAAAATCCTGCTTCAATTGTTAAAATCAACTTTAAATTATGTAATAAGAACAATTCTACTGCACCATACAGGATATGGTTTACTGATACAGTGTGTGGTACCCAGGACATGGGTCAGAACTCAAGGAGTCCAAAAAAAAAAAACCCAAACCCGTTGCGGACGAGTCCAGTCGATTCCAACTCATAGCGACCCTACAGGACAGAGCAGAACTGCCCCATAAGAGTTTCCACGAAGCACTTGGTGGATTCGAATCCCCGACCTTTCGCTTAGCAGCCTGAGCTCCTAACCACTAGCCACCAGGGTTTCTCAAGGAGTCCAGAAAGAACGAAAAACTTTAAAATGACAATTCTCTTCTTCTGGAAGATTCCTGCCCAATCCGGACACAAAGAAGTTATTTCCCAACTTAGTTATCTGTCCACATACTTTGGTATTTGTTCCATAGCCACACACCACCTACATTATTATTTATTTTTCATTAAGAAGAAGCCCTGGCGATTGAGTGCTAACCAAAAGGTCTGAGGTTCGAACCCACCAGCCGCCACTCGGGAGAAAGATGTGACAGTCGGCTTCCGTAAAGAGTTACAGTCTTGGAAACCCTATGGGGCAGTTCTACCTGGTCCTATAGGGTTGCTATGAGTCAGAAGTGACTCGATGGCAACAGGTGTTTTTCATTAAGTTGAGTTCATTTTTACTTAATTTTATTTTACAAGGGAACTTTTTAATCACCACCGTGGATGGCCAATATTACCTACCATACGTAGAAAATGACCCGAAATAAACAAAAGCAATGTTACCAAAATCTGCCTAGATAACTCTTACCAGCTGAAAACTCCTGGCCTGTAGCCTATTCTATTTTGATATAAAGTGGATGTTAAGTATTCAAGACCCTCTGGCACCCATGTGAGCTGGTTCTCAAAATCAGATCTGAAAGAAAACTGAAAACGAAATAGAATACCTTTCCACGTAATTCAACGTTACTCAATGTAGCGTCTGGGGACGTCTGATCGCACACTCTGAGACCAAAAACACAGACCACACTTTCATACAGACCTCAGCTGCCCGGCGCACCGTGAACGCCACAGAGGCCAGCTGACGCGAAGTCGGAGGCGCCCACGCCCTCCGCCTGGGTCTGCGGGGCCCGGGTTAGGCGCTCTGCAGCCGCGCGACCACCCCTCCCGACCCCGACTCGCTCGACGCCAAGACGTCAGACAGCAAGGGAATCCGTGCGCCAGTTCTGTTAGCGCCGCCCTGCAAGTGCTACCGCAAGTGCCCGGGCAGGCAGCTACCTGGGGGTCTCCCGCAGGATCAGCGCAGCGGACGTCGCCATCCTCCCAGCTTACTTGCCCGCCGCCGCCTGTCAGCTGGCGGAGCCGAGCCAATGGCGGCCTCGGCCGACGGGAAGCCAGAAGGCTCAAGCCACACAGCGGCCGCTTGGCCTCAGGCTCTGGGGGCCCGACCTCCCGAGTCCTGTCCTGCTGTCCGGGAGAGGCGAGGGGGCGTCACCAGCGTACTCTCCGCCACTCCAACGGTGTCTCAGTTAAGGCTTTGTAACTACAACTAGTTATAATTATATGTTGTTTTTGTTGGGTGCAGTCAACTCGATTCTGACTCAAAGCAACCCCGTGTGAACTGCCCCGTAAGATTTTCTTGGCTATAATCTTTACAGAAGCATATTGCCAGGTCTTTCTCCCACAGAGCCACTGGGTGGGTTCCTTTTGGTGAGCAGCCAAGTGGTTAACCGTTGTGTCACCAGGGCTTCTTACAACTATAAACCAAAAAAACCCGTTGCCGTGGAGTCGATTCTGACTCATAGCGACCCTATAGGACAGAATAGAACTGCCCCATAAGGTTTCCAAGGAGTGGCTGGGTGAATTTAAACTGCCTACCTTTTGGTTAGTAGCGAAAAGCTTAACCACTGTGCCACCAGGGCTCTGTATATACATACATGAATGTGTTTATGTTTATATAAATGTCTATGTCGGTATCTATGTGCATATAATAAATATATACATATATATTTTTAACAGGGAATTTTAAAAAGGAGTTGTTGCTGAGTCAACTCTGACTCATGGCGACCCCATATGTATCAGAGTAAAACCGTGCTCCACAGTTTTCAATGGCTGGTTTTTCTGAAGCAGATTGCCAAGCCTTTCTTCTGAGACACCTCTGGGTGGATTTGAACCTCCAACCTTTCAGTTAGCAGCTGAGCATGTTAACCATTTACCACCACCAGAGACCCGGAAACTCCTTTAATAGAGAACAGAGGAAGTTTAAGAAAGCACCCCTCACACACACAGTTGCTGAGAGGCAGGTGGTAGGAAGGCAGGTGGTGCTTCCCCCAGCATGGCCAGAGAGTGCCCTGCCTTGGCCAGCAGGGAAGACAGTGCCACCAGCTCCATCCAGGCAATGTGCAGTCAATTCTTGTTATGTCTGCATCCCCAGAGCTCTGCAGGGCATCACCTGGGGCTTGCAGTATGTACATTTATCATTCACCATTGCCTAAGCATCTACTGTGTGCCAGGTATATGGTGGGTGCGGGGATACAGAAAACCAAAATCCCTACCTTTGGGGTTTGCCAGCACTTTGAATAGACAAGTATTTGTTACGCCTCTTGGGAGAGACTGTCATTAAGGTATCTCCCAGGAGCATAGGAGAAACAACCAAAACCAAAACCAAACCTGTTTGGTCCACCTAGAGAAAAGCATCTAGTACATTAAAGCGATTCAGAGGTGGGAGCAATGATGGGCATCGCTGGGAGGTAGAATCAGGAAAGCCTTCCTGGAGCAGGTGGTATGTGCAGTGGGCCTGTAGAGATGAGGGTGACAGGACGCGTTTCAGGGTGAGGGAGGAAAGTGGGCAAAGGCTGGGGTGTGCAGAGCCTTTTGAATGGCGTTCAGAGAGCAGTCAGGAAATAAGGCTAGAAGAAGCCTTGAATGATGGCCTGTGGCATGTGCACTTAATGTGGTGAGAAATGGAGAACAAGTAAATGTTTTCAAGCAAAGAAATTTTATAACGAGGGCTGTTTTTTGAAGATTACTGTCAGCAGAATGATGATTGGACTGGAAGGAGGTAAGCAGGAAAGCTAGATAGGAACCTATTGCAGTAATCTATGGAAAGCAATACAATCCTGTAGTAGTGAAAAGGCACTGGGGAATTACAGAATAGTGGAGGATTAGAGTTACATTTCAGCAGTAGAATCTTCAGGAGTTGGCAAAAGATTGAATTTAATTTTCCTTCCTAATTATGTTTTACTTAAATTATTATTTAAATTAGTTGGCATTCCTAGACCGGCCCCAAAACATTCTAACTGAAAGGAGAAGCCAGACTGCAAATTAAAACTGAATAATCCCTGCGTGGATAACTGAATCAATTATACAGTGTGTTGAACACACACAAATGCATTTAGTTCCACAACACTCCACACACTCCCCGATTTATGTGGTATTTGAAAAGATGCATGTGAATCTACATAAATTACAGGTCTTTGATCCAAACACAGATTACCTTACTTGGCACAATTTAAAGAGGGTCCCATTTGTCTCCATTTCTCAATACTTTCCCTTTCGTCTTGATACAGTGCCTGAATTGGAGCCACTAACCAGCAAAACTGGTTCAAACCTCTGCTAAAGTTTTCTTCCTCTGTTGCCTTTAACGACTTAGCTGGGATTTTGAGCAAAAGAGCACAGGGGTGCTTTAAGTCCTGAATCTTTGTAACTTTGGACAAAGCTCTTAACCTCACTAAGCCTCCTGTTTCTGGTCTGTAAAATGGGCATGAGAATAATGCCTGCTCCTCTAAGTTGTAGTGAGAATTAAAAAACTTAATGCATACATGCATGAAAACCACTCCTTTAAAAAAAAAAAAAAGCACAGACCCTCCAAAGTTTTAGCAAAAGGAAGTCTCCAGTGGACACAGAGGCCTCTCACTCTGATTCTTTTCATTTTCACTGCTGGGGAACTACTTCTTATTACTACTTGTTGCTATAAAGAATTGATGAATGAATAATTTCACCCCTCAAATGAGACCTTCATCTAAAATATTTCTGTGGTCGCTGGAATATATGAATATATGTCCATGAAAAAGTCCTTGTAGTTGTCTTAACTGTTGCCGCATCTAGAGAACAGGAAATATATCCCTGCAGGCAGAATTCCATAACCATCTTTTACCCTAAAACGTGTAAACCCATCTTTTTGATGGATCCAAGCCCAGATATGCTGTCCCTGATTTGTTATGGCTACTAAGTCTTGCTGAGGCCCCCAAAGTTCCTTCCAGATCCTTGCCTTCCTTGCAGACTTTCACCAATTCCACATTTTCTACATTCTGTCTTAGCAGAATGTAAGGGTTCTCTAGAAAACATAACCTGAGTTACCTGCTATTGCTCCACTGAAGGCTGTGATTGCAGAGAAGCAGGAGTGGGGGCAAAAAGGAAGTGAGGAAGGGTAAGAGGGAAGCAAACACAAGGTGGCATATTATCTAACTGGTTATAGTTTCAAAATCCAGCTTGTTGCTTAGTACTGTGGGTGTTTCCAGAGAGACTATTTAGAACCACTCTGTCTTAGAATAGCCTGGAGGTGGGAGTGGGGACAAGAAATTTGTCTACAGATTCTTTCCAATCTTCTCTCTCTTACTGGTCAAATTTTCCCTATGGTGCATTGTCTTGGCTGCATTTCTGCGGTATGTTGCCTGGCACCTCCAGGCAACCACCAGGGAATCCAGAGAACCGATGGGTGGTAGAGTAGGAACTGTGCCCTGGAGCTGTAGGGGAGGAGAGCCCATAGCCCCAGACCTGCTCTTACCCTTCCCCCAGCCCCCCAGACAATGACAACAGCAAGTAAGCAAGTGGCAGGGGCTTTAAGACCATAATATCAGTTCAGAGCCCCCAGTGGCCGCTTTATCTTGAAAGCAGAGCAACGTGAAGCCTGGAAGACAAGTGAGGTGGAGTACATCTAGAGAGGTACATAACTTGGAGACAGTTATGGTCCTTTAGTAGAATCTCAAAACTGGAGTTGCTTGGGCCTTGTTATGGATTGAATTGTGTCCTCCTCACCCCCAAAAAATAAAGAAATGGAAGTCATAACCTCTATACCTGTAAATAGGAACCTGTTTGGAAATAGGGGTTTTGTTATGTTATGTTAATGAGGTCATACCAGAGTAGGGTGGGTCCTAAACCTAATCATTTCTGAATGACATCTGATAAAAAGAGCAGAATAGACAAGGACACACACTCAGGGAAAACCATATGAGGAGCCATCTATAAGCAAAGGAATGCCAAGGATTACCAGCAGACAACAAAAGCTAGGAGAAAGGCCCACAAAAGGAATCAACATGGCCAAGACCCTGATTTGGACATTTAACCTCCAGAACTGTGAGAAAATAAATTCCTATTCCGTAAAGCCATCGCTCGTGGTATATTTTGTTACAGCAACAGTAGCAAATTAAGACAGGTCCTGAGTGCTTCAGCTCTTTACTGACGTAACTTTTCAGTTCACAAACACAAACCTAGTTGTTTTCCCAAAGTGCACCCCAGCAAAGGTTGGAGTGGGGTCTGGTGACCTCCTTCATGGTGTCCAGGGAGCTAACACTCGCTTTTCTTGGAACTCCTCTCTTTTGGTGGGTTTCTTCGCAAGGACCGTATTGGGGTCTCCTGCAATATAGCCTCGGTCTGCACCCACCCTCTCCCTGCTGGGTATGATTTATATCTTAGTATAAAGTGAAGCAGAGCCAGGGTTTGGGCCTTTTTCTCCCAGAAGTGCCCTCTACTCCTAAGTAAAGTCTGGACAAACCAAGCAGCCCTCCCCAAGCATTCCAGCCCCAAATGGAAGTGATTATTATTGGAGGAAGGAGAACACCTTCTCACCCACCAGAGCAGTATCTGAGCCTGAGGCACCCAGTCCCGCTGAAATGACCTGTAACTTATGTAAGTTTTTGTTATCTAGTGTCAAATTGGGGAGGGGAGGGGTATATGCAAGAATTTTACTATATACCCTAGATTGTTCTGGGGACAGGTTGGACTAATTATCCTGGCTGATATCCTTAGCATTCTGAACATCTATAGTCTACTAGGTGCAGTTATCAAATGGTAGTTTAGAGTCAAATAAGGGCAGAGGACTAAGGAACTACCTGCTACCCATGCCCTACTCCCAGACGGACTATAAAATACAAAACCCGTATTTTTGGGTTTGTCACATTGGCTTGCTGAAGCCATTGGCCCAGTTTTCCTTCTTCCCACCACCATGCTGAACACACACCGCCCCCTCTCTCCACACCATCACTCAGTCACAGTTTCTGACCTTGTTTTTAGCTCTGTAGTCAGCGCTTGTCTCATATGTGTGAGAGACTCAACTGGAGCATAACCGAAGAA